TTAAATATAAATGTTGGAGAAAATGTCAGCAGAAGTGTTAAAAGTATCTGTTCCAGTAAAAAAAAAAAAATTAAAAGGCTCTGCTTTAAAAAAGAAGTTTTTAATAATTATTTATAATTATAATTTATATTTATTTATCATATATATATTATTTATAATTATAATTTATAATTATTGTATATTTATAATTATAATTTATAATGGAAAATTCTGGGACATTTCATTGTAAACAAGTGAATGGCTGTCAGAGGTAGCAAAGGCAATTTATGTTATGTGCTGCTTTACATGGTGGATTTTATGCATTTAGTAGTTTTAAGCATAGTCCTTCCTCGTACACAGTGGTTAACACTGAGGTGGTAGAGCGATGCTTTCCTATTTCCTCCTTGTTTACAAGCATGCTTAATGCCTTGTTTTGTCTTTTCACATCCATAACATTGAATAATGCATTATTGTGCAAAAAAAAAATTGCCTTTTCTTTTTTGACTTTCAAAAGAAAATTTAATAGCAGACACGTATTACGTGATAACATAAAATTCTGTGGAACAAAACACTTAACTGACTTTCCAGTGTTACTTGCTGCTAACAGAACTGTTTCAGTTACTGATGCCAGAAGTGCTCTGAGTATTCTACTTAATTTCTTTTTACTTCATCTTTCAGCTGGGACAGCACTGGGCCTTGGCGTTGTGAACATTCTGCACACGGTGAACCCGTCTCTTGTGATCCTTTCTGGGGTTCTAGCTAACCACTATGTTAATGCTGTCAAAGATGTGATAAATCGACAGGCACTGTCCTCTGTTAAAACAGTGGATGTGGTGGTCTCAAATCTAGCAGATCCTGCTCTTCTTGGAGCTGCTAGCCTGGTACTGGATTATACCACACGTAGAATATACTAAAGAATTACATAAGAATTAGAGAATTGGACTATTCAAATTCTTAATGGGTGGAGGGAATATTTTGCCCCAAATTTTTCTTTGATGAGAGCAGCTAATGAATCCAAGTAGTGTTCTGAGTAGTTAGTGACTACTTCAGCATTTCCTAATTGAGGTATTATCTTTTTACATTTTTCCTAAATTTCAGCTGACTTGGAAGTAATGTGCAATTCTGGTTTTTTAAGCACCTCTGTTGTTAAGCCTATACATTACTTTTGAGTGTGGCTGAATTATTTATGAGCATCTCTTGCTGTATGGGGATAATGTGTATGGTGTATAAAATTATTATAACTGTTGGGGATCCATATCTCATTTCCCACTTATGTGAAATGAGACGCTTACCAGCTTTTCAGTTTCTAGGATTCCACCCACAAAGTAAATATGATGTAATCACCAGTAGCAGGTAATAATTTAAGTGGGTGGAAACACGGGCCTCTACAATAAAAAAAGGTTACACCTAGAAGAAATTCCTTTTCATGAAGGACTTGGTAGACGCAACCAGGTTTATTTATTAGATCATCTCTGAACGCCAGAGTCCCATTTTAGAAGCTTTGCATATGAAGGAAAAAAACTACAGTTTAGTGAGCTTACAGCCTGCAGAGGAGTCCAAACAAACTCATAAGAGAGCAGTGAGCATCTTTGTCTTCTGGCTATGGCCAGTAGTAAATTGTTTGAATTTTAATCTTGAAGGACCTTTCAAGAGACTTAATCTACTACTTTAAGAGAGGGGGGCTGCTTATTCTTTGGTAGCCAGTTAGCTGAAATTCAGCCACGTGGCACAGCTGATCATAAAGAACCTTTCACTACAGAGTGACACAGTGCATCCTCTCAGCCATTCAGGTGGCTGAAGGTGCACTGTTCTTGTCCTGCTTTCACCATCAGCTTTCAGGATGGAGAGTCAAATCTGACCCTTATCCTTGCCTTCAGAGCATTCAGAGGCCTAGGAGAAAAGTATGTCAATTACCAGTAAAGGCTTGCCTAAGTAAGCTGGTTTGTATTTCTTTAATTTAGAGTCCTTGATATACAGTGCTGTCTTTATCCAGTTGCTTTTTTAGCATTCTTTCAAGATGCTGGAGGAATTGAAAAACCAACCCATCTTATCAGCTAATCCAGAAAGATAGCTCTGGAGGAACAGTCATAAGACGATATATCCTGTCCTGAATTTAATGACCTATTTTGACATCTAACTCAACCACTGATATTCTCAAGAGTCCAGTAGTGTGTTAGTACAGGGGCTGTTTTCACACTTGAACTTCTCCAATCAAAATGAAACAATCTTCTGCAACCATTGCCCTGTCCTATACAATCAACTTGGACTGAATAGCTCCTAGTTAATTTGCTAATTCTGGGATATCATCTATAGAGATTGTCTTTACTTCACCCTCTCTTCCACAAGGAATGCTTATTGGTAACACATCTTCAGAGCAGATTTCAGGAATACCACCAGATCTCCCTCCTGATGTCTCCAGGAAGAATCCTGCAGCCTCTATACCACTGGCAAACAACTGGTTCTTCACTCTGCCAAGTTATACTAGGCTTTATGTAACCAAGGAGATTTAGTTGCTTTTCCTACAAGTCTTGGTTCACTCGATGAGTATTGAAGGTAATGGAATTACCTTCAATGCCACAGCATCAGCTCTATGAGCAGGTCAAGGAGAAACTAGCATTTCTCTGCAGTGGCAGTAGGTCAAATCAGGAGTACTGAGGTTCTAACAGTGAGGAGGCCTGTCATTTGATCTTTCCATCCTCTACTATGACAAGGAACGCCTGGCTGGAATGCCTGGCTAAAAGTGGGACCAGGCTTTTGCTTTCCAGACCCTCTGAAGCTCTGTATTTCTTGTATCTCAGACTCAAAATGTTTTTTCCTAGCAGCTAAAGGGAGGGTGCAGGCACAGAAAAAACACAACAGACTAAAACACAGTTGAAAAGTTTTACACATTTAATGTCATATTAAGAAAACGGTTCTTGAAATGCTTTTGAAAATGCTTTTTTTTCTGTCAATTGGCCAAGAACTTGCTGCATATGTAGAAGCAGTTTATTAAATCAGAAAGAATAAAAAATCATGTTTAATAGTGTAATAGTGGTTTTGTTTGTCTCTACTTCTTTCTCTGTTCAGAAACATCTTTTGAACTTCAGATACTTGAATGTGGACCAGAGGTTTTATGGATATTAGCCCCCTGTTGTATCCAGCCCCAGAAGGAGCAAACATCAGATGTTCACAGAATATCTGCAGCAATGTGCTTACTTGATGCTGGCCCAGTGTCCTTTAGAATAACCCATACCATCAAGTTTAGTTACTCAGTATTTTGAATCTTTGATATGCCACCCAGACACTTGGAAATAACAAATTCATTCATTTTCTGGTGGTCTTAAAGCACTGTCCTTCCTCCATTTAACTGTAACAAAATTGTCAAAAACTCGTACGTATTATCAATGGAGGCAATGGTAATTTTGTATTAAAAAAACACAACACAGAGTAAGGTGCAGACAGATTTTACACTTGGATTCAGTGAAATCTGATGACTGTGTCGATTTCAAATGCCATGGAGATACCACAGGCGGTAGTAAGTATATGACACCTGGGCTGTACACTCCTTGGACCATTCCAGATAATTATATTTGGATTAGAACTAGTGAGACAGCACACAGTTCTGCAAAGGAACTTGCTTGCCTGCATGACAGGTACTGCTGGGGGAATCCTCTTGGCAATGACTGTAGACACCCATGTTGTCCATTCTGATATACAAGCCAGTAATCTGTGTTTGCCTCTTAACTGGCTGCTCAGAAAAAAACCCAAAAAAACAGCAGGAAAAAAGATAAGCTGCACCATGATTTTTTATGGCTGCTTAAAACTTAACTGTGTTCCACAAGCTAAGAGGATGAATGCATAGTGCTGTTGTTTCCAGGCTCCCTGCTTTCCAATGAACCCATGACCTCTCCATCCCCCTTCTTTACAAATGCTCATTGTAATTTCAGACTGCCTGGCTGCTGGCTGCCACCTGATCAGAAGCTAAACAAAGCAAGTTCTATACCAGGACGTATTCAGCAAGAGTCCACAGCTTCTCTCCCAGTACTACATGAGATCTTCACATGCATGCAGCTGGGATTTTATCTGCAGGATAGGAAGCGTCCCAAGTTTTTTTCCAGATTCCACTGACTAATGCTATGGAGATAAGCAGCAACAGTGGGAAGTTAAAGCCAGTAAACAGGATTGAGCATGCACAGGAGGCCAGAGGTGTAGCACAATAGTGTCACATGAAGTTACAAAACAAAGTGACAGATACTGACTGACCTCTGAAAAAAAACAAGTCAATGTTTAGAAACACAGACAAGGGAGTTGCTTTTCCCCAAATAAACCTGAGAATTCTTTTGCTGTCAGGCACAGAAAATGTCCTGACTCCAGGAGTGCTGTGTTTGGTTCTGAGCTCCCCAGTATACGAGAGACATAAGCACACCAGAGAGAGCTCACAAAGAGCCACAAAGATTATAAAGCAACTACAGCATTTCTCCTGTGAGGAAGGGCTGATAGCTGGAACTGCTCAACCTGGAAACAAGAAGGCTTAGGGGAAGCCAGTGTAATCTTACCAATGTATATAAATACCTGAAGCGAGAGTGCAAAGATGGGTTCCCTTCATTTGTGCCGTGACAGGAGACACTGGGCACAGACTGAAACACAGGAGGCTCCATCTGAACCTCAGAAACACCTCTTTACTGTACAGGTATCCAAGCACTGGCAGAGGTTGCCCAGAGAGGAAGTGGAATTTCACTTCTTGCAGATCATCAGAAGCTGTCTGGATATGGTCATGGGCAACAGGCTCAACGTGGTTCTGCTTGAGGAGCTGAACCACATGACCTTAGAGGTCCCTTCCAACCACAGCCAGTCTATGATTTTGTGACAGCACAAAAGGAGACAGTGAGCTAGCATACTTGAATGTAAAATTAAGGCAAAAGAGGTAATCTCTGCACCAGAGTTAGTGGAAGTAATCACTAAGAACCCACAGAGCTGCATTTTAAGTGTTCCAGCAGGATGAAATACGTCAAAAATCTGCAAACACGGCATATGGAATACTGCTTTAACTTCTGTAATACTGCTTTGGGCTTGAATTCGAGTCTTTGCCCATTTTCTTGGATTGCAGCTCTAAGCCACACTCATAGCCAGATAAAATATTCTGTAAGATAGGAAAATGTACTGGTCAATACATACCATCATTCATTCAGTGTGCAGGAACCCCTCTAACCTGTTGATCTTTCAAATTCTCTTTAATTCATATTAACACTTTAAAGACTCTGTATTTAATGTAGTGGACTTTTCTTTATTATCAGGTCATTTTGAACATCTTTGTTTTCAGAGCTTTTGAGTGTGCAGCAAAAAGGAAATTTTCAGTCAAGGTGAATACGTAACTAGGCAAGGCTAGGAATGATTATCAGTGTTCTATGGACTTGCTCTGTGCTTCAGTCCTGTTGGGACTCACCTGCCATGCCCTTGTGCAGTTCAGAAGATACTTTCCTGCCCTAATCTTCCATGGAATCAAGCTTTCTGACTTGTAGTCTACAATCATTCTCATCACCACCCATCAGTAGTGTGTGAATACACTTGCAAACATGAGAGTAGGTCCAGCCATTACAGACAACAGTAAGGTACAGCTTAACTACTGCAGCCCAACTGGAAACCATTTATTGACTACCTTACCCACCAAAGGGACCCAGCTGCTGTGCAGTAACATTTTGAGCTTTGGTCCACCATAATCTGTATCTGCAACTCTTTTCAAACTACCTGGACTAACCTTCCAGCTTGTACATAAAAGGTATTAAAGCAATTACACTACACAGTAGTTAAAATACTGTGTCTTTGATAAACATGGTGGAATAACATAGGAGATTGAACAGATTAGTTTTAGAAGACAGACAGCTAAGGTAAGGCTTAACAGAGCAAGGCTAGAATACAGCCCCTGTGACTGCTCGGTGAGCAAAGGAAGCAGAACACAGATTTTCTAGATTGCTTTGTTTCTGATTCAACCACCTCGGCAGACAGAGCTCCAACCTAGAGATGAGCAGCAGTAAGAGGAAGTCTTCCCTCCTCTTACTCTCCAACTCTCCAGTGCACCACCCTAGTGGGAGGAAGTGTCTGCAAAGGTCAGTGAGGACAAGCACGCAGTTCAAAAACATCCAAACAGCCTCTGCACCACAGATCTTTGCATATGAAGACTGCATTGAAAACCTCGCGGAACACAATAAGCAGTAGAATACCAAAGGCCTTAACTGCAGTGCCCTCTCCTTTGTGTTGAGCCTCAGACAGCCAGAGTGACAGCAGAAAATTATACACAACTACTTACCTGCAGTAGGCAGTGTCCTCAGTCCCACTGGAAGCAAGATAAGCCCCTTAACAAGCCTGCTGTTTTAGTTTTCTTGAGCTGCTGTCTAGTGTGACAAATTGGATAGTGGAGAAATTTTTAAACTAAAGCTCTCAAGAGCTTTAAGAAAGATTAAAGAAACAAGGAGGACAGCCTTGCACTGCTGGCTGGACATTCACCAGCAAGGTGAAATCACCAGCAATCAAGAGAAATGTTTACTCACACTTAATTCAAACACACTCTGTCAAAAAGAAGCAGGAGACCTTCTCAATTCATCCAAAGTCAACACATTTTGCTGTTTAAAAGATCTTTAATATCAGTAATGTAGGAAGTGACACCTCGGTGCACAACAGCACAGAGACTACAGTTTTGGAGGTTCTCCCATTTCAGACACAGAAAGGAAACATCAGGAAGAACATGCAATCAAATGATGATCAGCTCTAGATACATCATGATGTGGTCCAAAAATACACATTGAAACAATTAATCAAATTACTGCAAACATAGCTTCTCTGGGTAAGGTTAAGATATTGCATTTGTAGTGTCTCCATCGAGCTTTGCTTCAGCGAACCAGTGGAGCCTGCTTGAGTGAGATGAGGACTGAACGCATGCGGGACACATCTTTTGCCTGCTTACTAGACTTGGGATTAAAGTCACAGAGCTGAGCCACACGTTCCCACTCAGTGCCAGGAAAATCTTCCGCATCATTCACAAAGGCTTCTTCAGCTGCCCTAAAAGCAATGCAATGCACCTTGTGTTAATGCCCAGCATGTAAGGCACTCCTTCCCTCTTAGAGGATGCAGTTTCTTTCAGCATGTTTCATAAGAAATGTGACCTGACAGCTGCTTGTGGACATTATGGCCACGTAAGCTCCCACTGCCCCAATCCTGGAGATGAAAGTAGACTGCAGTAGTATGCTATGCACAAGCAGTGCAGAGGATCGCAGAGGATTGTGTAAAATGTTGGAATACAGGTGTTTGGTTTTAAGAATACTTATTGAGTCTTTGCCTAAGGAGTGACCACACAAGGTTCCAGGAAGTAAGGTACTTCTTTTGTAGGCATTTTATTTATGGAGAAATGCCCATGTCTTGAATAGTTAAGCCTCTGCTGCTTGATGGCTTATACTGGACATTTGCCAACTGGAAATTTACAACTGCCTGCAAGCATGTCTTAAACAAATTATGTCTGAGGATTTAAATCAGCCCCAAGGCCTACAGGCCATCATAAAACTATCTGCTGATGATTCCCAATGCTGTAGTGAAGCAGCATGAATCATAAGGAATTTAAGTCAGGAATCCCATGCTTGTGAATGCAATAAACTACAGCGTATCTTGGCAGAGGAGATGACTTGTTTGAGGTCACCTCACAGAACAAACGGATTTCCTCTGCTCTCACCCTAAGGAGACTCTAAGGCTTTGTACATTATGTACTGGATAGTGCCAGTGGCTTCCCAGCTGTATTATTTTGGCTTTTCTATGCTGCCAATAGCATTGCTTCAATGCAGGGATAGCACTCCAGCATCTAGTTTACATGATGTGGGGCCCTGGTAGCTGCCTGAGTGCAGAAGCAGTAAGCATCCAGAGATCAAACCAAATCCATCTACTCCAACAAGCAGTACAGAGAAAGCAGTGAAAATGACTCTCCCATGAGGATTCAGCACTATTCACAAGGATGATACGGTTACAGACACCACTGAAGACAAGGATCACTACAACACTGCTACTTTATGTGACATGACACTTTTAAAGGGCAGTGAAGATTTTTTTACTTAACTGTTCTAGGCTGTAGCAAGGATGATTTATGTTTGTGCTTAAAGGTGAAGAGAAGAAAAGAAACAAGGAGAGAAAGTTTAAGTCAGATATAGAAAATGAGAATGAGTTTAATGCAGATGATTAGCTGGCTGAACATGCACTAGTAGCTTAGCCTACATTCAGGAAACAGGCAGCCAGTTTTATTATGCAGCACTCACACTGCACATTTGCACTGGACATATAACAATAATGGTTTTATTGTAAAAATCCAACAAAATCAACTCCAGGAAATTTCAAAAAAGTTAAACACCACCTGTAAATCCATCATTTCACAAGTCTTGGTTTACATCCACCTACAGTTAGCTGTGAATTTCACACCAAATCTTCAATATTAATGCACTCAAAGCCAGAACACGGCTCACCAATACACCTTCTAAAGGTGTCACCTTAGAATCTGTGACATGTCCATCTTTCAATTCAAGTCTACAAATTAAGGGAAGAAATTAAAATACATGAACAAGCCAATGAACATTGCAATCCTTCTACCCCTCAGAAACTAGCATATTCACTGGGGCTTGAAAGTCACAGCTCTATTTTCACTGACCTATTAGGCTGGCAAAACATCTACACTACTCCTAAATGTCTTCCCAGCAGTTTACACTGATTTCTCAATGCCACCTTCTTGTATTATCTATCTGTTCTCTAACAGCCTCCTATTTCTACATGCACGCACATTTTCTGCCCTCATTCGTGTCAGGCAATTCCCCTCTACCTTCCCTGGCTTCCTTCTGAACATTTATGTGCAAGCATTGCTTGAATATTTTTCTGATATGTAGGCAAAGCAGGTGGTCACTGCCTATTACAGAATTAAACACTGCTTCTCTGTGGAGGGACTAAATACAGCACCCATGTGAAACTGCAGGCACTAACCCACATCCCCAGCAAAGCATCTTGCTAAGCAATGTTCACTGGCCTGGAAACAACTGTAAACCCTTAGGTCTAAAGAGTACTGCAGTCATTACCATAATTCCAGGGCTATGTACACTACATGACTTAATCTGAAAGTGCTAGGATTTGTGCACTGCATACAGGAGAACTGCACTTAATACTGCAGACCAGAAGTGGTCCAAAAAGTAAATATTCAGAAGGCAGCTTCAGACACTCAGCACTATTTTTGATCCTGCTTATTATCGTGTTGACTAGCAAGCAGAATTAGTAGTTAAGCAACATACACATAACCAATCACGTCAGCGAAGGGTTGTTTGTAGAAAGCTTCATCTGCCACCCTAGGTAGCAAGTAGTCCAACAGGCAGGCAAGCAGGCAGGAGAAAAGAGATAAAGATGAAAGTACGGAACACAGCTGGAGGCAGTTTTAACAAGCATATCAACCTTGCATCACCTAGACTTACTGTAACAGGAAAGCAGTTACCACATGGAATGGATCAATTAAGCCATTGGTCAGAGGGGCAACACAGAAATTCTTCCACATCCTAGAAGTTTAGATCAGCTAGTTGAGGACTAGAGCCCCAATGTTAGCATTAAGACTACTCCCAGAGGACAGAAACTACCAGCAGGCAAAAGATCTCACCACAGTGATGAGAATGCCAAACAGTTCTGTACAACACCTGTTTAATGTGCCCTGCTCCAGACACTGTATCTTGCACTCAAACACAGGCCATAATAAAGCCATGAGGGTATCACGAACTCTGGCCACCACCTAGGAGAGTATTAATCCTGTTTCCCTTTCTTCACTCAACGAAAAGGTAGTGAATTCCTCAGTGAATGTTATGGAAGTGGCAAATCCATAATTCTGAAGGCAGTGTAGGCCTCCTTTCTTCCTTTAGAAAGGAGAGTAGTCTACCTAGGACTTCATTTAATAAAGACAAACCTGATGGCTATTTTGATAAGAAAAGCAGTATTTCAAAGAAATAAACTAACAAAATACAACAAAATGAACAAAACAGCAGTTTTGAACAGCAGTTTGAACCCTCTGAGTTCCCAAAATATAAAGCACTCTTGATGATTACCTGCATAGAATGAAGTAGAGATTTAAGAGGCATTAAGTCAGTTCTATCACTTTTACCGTCATGTACCTTGAAGTCAAAATTCCACAGGGAACTTCTAAGAAAGTGTAAGAGCTTACTATTCCAGCAATCAAGTCATCACTTTCTACCACAGGACCCATAATTAGACAATTCAAACCACTACAGACACAATCAGCATTCAGTTTTTCACTAGTAGAACCGAGTAATGTAATTTCTGAACTGCTTCCAAAAAGAGCAGCAAAAGATTTTAAGATATTTTATGAAATTATCTGTAGCAAAGATTAACTAGAATGCCACTTCCATATGTTCTAAAGTAAGCAAGTAAGATTGCTAGTCTCAGGGTAGGTAACTACAGACATTGAAGGCCTGTACAGCTGGGAGCATGGCAAGTGGGCAGAGTAAAATATTTTCTGGCCATGTTCAAGCTTCATGTCCGAAGGAATCTTCAGTAATACTTGATCATCATCTTAATGCTTCCTGGATATTTAATCTAGATTATCTAAGAAAACTTAAAAAGGTAGGTCGTAGGAGTGTTTACTTTAATGATCTGAAGGACTATTGCCCTTAGGACATAGAAGAAGTATTCTCACATCCCTTCCTAATTATTTTCATAACTAGAACCATAACTCTCCCGATGACTGGAAAAACTTTACCTGTTACTGGCTTTTGTTTTCTCAAGCTTTTCATCTTGCCTTGCATACCACTCTTCCAACTCTTTTATTGCTTTCTCTTTCCATTCTGCTTCCTGCTTTCGTGAGTTTGCATCTGAAGATTTAAGAATTGCTTTGTCAGTCACCTTTGTATTCAAATGCATCTTGCAAACATTTCAACTTATGGTTCAGGGTGCCCTCTAGTGCAGACAGTTGCTTCACCAACTCAGGTAAGGGTTAGGAGATTTCCTGATTTAGTCCTAGGAGAATTCTAAATACTATAAACATTGAAAGGATTAGCTGAACAGAACTCCTGTGCTGCATAACTGGGACAGTCCACTTCAGTTTAGGATAGGCACTTTGCAGAGTAGCTCGGATTCAGTCAATCTGCAAACCGCAAACTGCTCAAACCAGAAACAGTCACCTTGCTATGCCAGTGCTAGAACAAAGCTTAGTAAAACCTCTATGCTTAGACAAAGTGAAGGAACCTGGCATTCCACATACTTTTACACACAGCCTACACTTCAGGACAACCTCACCTGCTGTAACTAATACAAAACAGGAGTGAAACTGTCAGCTTTATCCAGAATTACATCTTACAGAAGGTTCTGTCCAAACAATTTCAAGCAAAGGCTCCTCCACCATGTAAGTGGGAAGCACACCAGTTTGTAGTCTCTTAGACATTGTCCATGGGTAGGTACCACTGCATTTGATAGCTGTATTTAGTTTAATTAATAATCCATTATTTTCTTAATTTAGTTATTAGATTAAGATCCATGTGACAACAGATGGCCTCAGCAATTACAAAATGATTAATCTTTATCCTTTGAAATAAACTACTAATGTCTGTAGTATTTATTATCATCAAAGCTTAAAAAAGCTTTTCATTTTCTGTCAGCTCATCTCTAAGTAAAGGTTCAGAGAGCCACTTGCTTGCTGACTTCCACACCAGTCTTAAGTCTGCTTACCAGAAGACTCATCCAGGAAGCATGTTAAGACTCTGAAGAAGCACTGCCATGGTTCAGAATTCTATTGCTTAAGAATCATAGAATGGCTTGAGTTGGAAGAGGCCTTTAAGATCATCTAGCTCCACCTCCTCTGCTGTGGGCAGAGACACCTTTCATTAGACCAGACTGCTCAAAACCCCCATTCAGCCTAGGATGGGGCATTCACAGCTTCTCTGGGCAGCCTGTGCCAGTGCCTCACCACAAAGAATTTTTTCCTAATGAGTAATCCAAATCTACCCTCTTTCTGTTTAAAGCCATTCCTCCTTGTAAACTACACAATGCTCTCTTGTAAAAATTCCCCCTCCACTTCTTCTGTAGGTACTGGAGGGCTGCTCTCAGGTGACCCCAGAGCCTTCTCTTCTCCAGGTAGAACACCCCCACCTCTCTCAGCCCGAGAGGAGCTGACATTAGGTTACTCAACAAATACCATGCTTACCAAGTTGCTCCAGACGCTCCTTTTGCTCCTCTCTCCACTTACGAATACTTTCTGGTTCTGACTGCAGTCGATCTACTTGGGAGATGGCAGCATAGCAGTCTGTGGGACCATTACTCTCCTTGGAGGAAAGGAATAGCAAAATCATTTGTGTAGAACAAGTGATTTCAGATAACTGCCTGCCAGCTATATAAAATTATACTCTATTTGAACTCAGCCAATAACACATTCATTTGATGTTATAACACATTTCCACCATTAAAAACATCTTGCTACAAATTACAGCATGATCAAAGGAAATTAAAACAGGGCTTCCTCCAGAAATCAGGGATCAAACAAAAATTCAACACAACTGGAAATACAAGTGCCACAGACACTTAGTGCCAGAGCACTAAGCCTGCAGAATGCAGAAGACAATGCCTAGCACCTCACTACACAGTAGTAGGCCATATACTCTCTGAGTTCATCTCACCTTAAATATTTTCTGCAAAATAATTTTCTTCATGGTTTTGTGCACAGAAGTACAAAACATTCTTTGCAGCTTATTTGTCTACTTCAAGAGACATTTGCATATCACATTACAGAATTTGGATTGCTGTATGCAGCTTATAACCCAAGAGGCATTTTAATATTTAATCATCAGAACAGTGAGAGTACTAGCATCCTTTTCACAATGTAACATCTCAAAGACTCAAATGAGTAGGGCTAACATTAATACACCAGATTTACAAAGCTAATGAATATTGTGGTATTTGCTACAGAAGATACTCTAAGTTTAACGACTTTTATTGCTTCATCCTACCCCTAGCAGAGTTAAGGAATACCACTCGTAAGAGTACCAGGTTGACTGCAGCTGACCATAGATTTGGCTTGCCCCTCTTTGGACTCCCTGTAGCCCTCAATGAAGGAATATTGCAAAGAGAAGACACTAGGCTGGTGCAACACCACCAGGCTTCACATTTCATCCAAAGCAAAATAAACTGGGCAGCTGCAGGGCTAGCTAGTTAGAGGTAGCTAAAACCTATGTTATGTATAGCCCATTCAGTCTCTTCTTTCTGATTAAGAGGAAGCTCTGTCAGCCAAAGCAACTGATCTCTTAGAATTTCAAACACAAAATCAAGGTACCTAAAAAGGGAAATCTGCCTTCTCTTGTACAAGGAAGAGCAAAGTGCCTGTGAAATACAGGTTGTCCCATCAATCTCACAGTAATGCTGAGGATATAAGAATGTCAGCAGCAGTGAAAGTTGTTTGTGTCTCCACAAAGCTCAGCATTCACTTAAAACTCTAAGGAGAAGTACATTGCTCACATTGCTTCTTTCCCAGGCACTCATTTAACCACGCTAACGAGTCAACTGTGACACCAGGCAATGACCATGCCGTGAAATTCAGTTACAACAAAGTGATAGCCTTAGCGTGCCTCCTTCCTCCCTGACACCAATAAAGCAGGTATCTCCTTCTTTTGTCATCATAGCTGTCTAACGTGCTTTCATACTGTGGCTGAGCTTTTTAGCCAGAAGCTTAATTTCATGCATCTTCATGTCACTAAGAAATGTATGTTTTCAGTCCATTCCTTGTAAGACTATTTTGATAAGACAACCAGGATGCATGAATTATCTTTAAAGAGCAAGCAAATCTGAAAACTCTACTTTAAACTAGGTAATCAGAGCACACTTTCAGCTTAGCAGCCAGTGCAAGTCAATGTAAAGTCATATCGCAGAGCCTAACAGTCTGCTTTACAGTGCTTACGTACTGTTAAGGCACATTTCAAAATGAACTGCTGCTTTATATGGCCTTTAAGTTCAGAGGATGGGCATAATTAAGAAGGCTGACAACTCCGTGAGATGAGCTACCAGTACAGAAAACCCTCCTCAGATACGAGACAAATTTACTTTAAAGACAAGAAATAGGAAGTATTAGTCTATATTAAGGTAAAGTTCTCAGAGTAGAACAGCACATTCTAAGTATAGAATACTTCTATCTTACCTTATAGACATCCCCGTTAATCACTCCATCAACGGCATCTGCAAAGAGGTGACTTGTTTAGTCATTTGAGAAAGATAGAATAGCCAGATTAACTGATTTCTGTAACTTGTATGGAAAGCTTTACTAAAGAAGGTAATGTGGGAGTTGTGAAAGGGAATGTTACTTGATACCCTGCAGGGACACTTCCTTCTCCCTGCACTTTTCTGGACAGGCATGAAAAACCAAGTGAGCCACTGTTCTGCAGAACCAGAAATACAAGGTAATTTCTTCATCATGAGATCCTGCTTTTAACAACACAAAAAGCAGAGCTGATACTGCTGAGAATCTGCTACAGACTGTGTTCTAAAGCTACTCCCACTTTGTCCTCATCCTCCCTCTCTTAGAAGCTGACTACTACACAACTGTTCTTAAGTTAAGAAGGATGACTACCAGTTTTTTAGTGTCTACCTGGAAGATTAACAATGCTGTAGCCAACAATTGGTAATTCTTATCTTACTGTTGTTATCTCCTAATTAGCTCAGAGATAAAGCTAACATTCCTAGCAAAGTCACCTTTCTGCTACCATCTGTGATGACATGCTTGGTAACTCCTACTTCAGTTGCAGCATTATCTCTGAAGTGACAGTGGCAACACAGCCGTCGGGAACAAATACCAGGTGTGAGTCAAACCTTTAAGTTTTTGAAACTATTTAAATCTATGGACTATACAAAACACACCAAGATTTTCAGAAACTCCTAAGTCTCAGCAGGGCACCTCTCTGGAGCAGGGCTACATAACATCTGTCAGCGTGCCATACCACGTACTCATGCTACTCATATCACCATGGATAAACCTATCACACAAAAGTGTGTCCACCATAATACACCCCTCAGTGAAAGAAGTGACTATACCAAAAAGTAAGCAGAAAAATCACATTATTTTGCACCACTGTCTTAAAAACAGATAGCTGATTGACCTAAAACTAAGCAAGTTAGGCTGCTGTGTCCTCTTGTTTGCAGCTAGTTTCCCACCAGTTTCATAATTCAAGTGAGTGGCACACAGGAAGTTCTTCATACTCCTTTATCAGTGAACTGAAGAGCAATCATTAACTGTGTTATGTAGAGGACTGTAAATTCATCAGTTCAAGAATGGCAGTTAAGTTGGAGAATACTAGTCCCCAAGAAAACAGTTACTAACTTTTGCAGGGGAAGACTCAAATTAAGAAAAAATAGCTTTTCAGTTATGAGAAAATATATTTTATAACTAGACTCCCATGACTGAGAGATGGTTGCTGCTTTGTTGGACTCCTACTCCTCTGGAAGGTACAGGAGGCCTTTAAAAAGACTACAGTCACCAGCTGGGCTAGAGGGCTCATAAATTTTGAGGATGTTTTCAAGAACATTGAAAATATGTTTTTCTTGTCACACCAAAAAACATTCATTACGGTCTTCACAACTCAGGCTGGCAGGTAGAAGGAACAACATCATTGTTTAAGGCTGTACCTGAGATGAAACACATAGGTTTGTCTAAGGGCCATTTTTGTTCTGCACAGAAACAGCCACTAACAGAAACTGAACTAAGTGTTTCCAGAGGGCATCCAGGTTAGAAGCGTTAGCAGTATTAGAACAAATTTCCCATCTGTTCTGAGCTCCCTAGAACTTGCAATTAAGCTGCAGAGTCAGCATGCTGACTGAGCTAATCGCAAGCAGAAGAGGAAACAGAAATGTACCAGCACACTGTCATATGCCAATACAAGTGTGCTAACTGCAACAAGACCAATAGTCAAACATTCCTTCATTTCAGCTCTCCAGTCTTCATGCTTGTATAATTAAGTATAAAGTACAGAAAAACTGTCTGTCTGCCAGCCTTCATATCAGTAACCAATGCTAGTTGTGTATCAGATTTTTCTGTTCACAGAAACATGCAATTTCATAAGCTTCTCACAGAAAAAGCCGAAATACTGCTAGTGCCATCATAACATTTTCAGCAGCCATGAACAACGAGACTCCTCTACTGGCTTCAGAGTCCACCCAATTCTATCATAGTATTGCATCTCCTGAAGTTAAAATCACATGTTTAGAACCATCTCAGTTACCAATGATCCATACTCCTTGTTGTTTGCTTTTGAACTTCAGATAAACTTTTATTTTTAAGGGCACTGTTGCAATGAACACATATAAACATATAAACATCTACGGTTCTGCAACACATGCTGACCATATGGTAATAATGAACATTCATACAGCAACACAGAAACCTTTTAGAGTCTGGAAGAGCATGGAGAGGATAAGTCATATCAGCTGCCTTGCATTCCCAGGAGATACAACACCCAAGCTTGCCAGAAATAGAAAGCTAGTATTAATGCCCTCCACATTTACTACAGCTTACAAAAGAAAAGACTGGGGAGTTTGAAGATAAATACAAAAAGCATTTTGTCACTTACATCCTAGAAGTCAATATATGGCCTCAGAGATTTATCACAATGATGATTAACTATTCTGAAGGCTGCTACCATAATTATTACCACTCAGGATCACTTGGCCTGAAAGGAAGCTAGCTTAGCCTTGTTCACCAGCCTCTCTAAAGTCTTATTCTCAATGCAAAAGTGGACTGTTACCCTAAAGTCAGAGGCAGGGCTTTGCAGTATACTGAAACATTTTTCTTACTCTCTTTTAAAATAGAAGTATTTTTTAGGAGTTACCTGCAGCATCTCTTTTAAACAATAAGTACCCTAAGTGCTGCTACTTTCAATAGGTTAGCAGCTTTAGTTAAAGAACAGAAGAACATAAAGTTTAATATATTCTGACATAAGGTTAAGTAACTTCACCACTCAAGGCCTAGTTTACCATCCTTTTTTCTTTTAGGCACAGTCATGCTTTAATTTTACCTACTTCTAACCCATAACATGATAAGAAAGAAGGATCTTTCACAAACCTTTTGTTTACACAGTTATGAAAGAACCTGGAGAAGAAATAATTTTTCTAGCTATAACTCATCCTCATGCCTGTGTGCAAAACAAAGGCAAGCAGCTCAGGAAGAGTGCTTCTTTCCAGTGTTTTAGTTTAATCCGTTGTCCTATTAAAACCCATGAGTTCCCTCATTTTCAATATAATCAGTAGGCTAGAATTAAAACACATCTGCAATAACACTGTGCCATAACAGCTTCTGTAATCTTCCAATCTAACAGCTTCTGTAATTTCCACCTTCTGTACATTTCCACTAGTATTCTCTTGAAAACAAAACAAAACAAAACAAGATTTTTCTGTCCTGACTTCATAATAATGCAGCATTACTAACACAAGCTAGACAGATACCACTCCTTTTCTCATACCCTTGTCAGTGCTGTCTTATGGGGCTGTGAAGCCTCAGACGCTGATTGCACAGCAAAACCCAGATCAATGGCTGTTCAAACAATTAAGAAAGAATCAATAGTCAGAAAAGAACTCTTGCTGTTTGTGGTGCTAACTACAGAGACAGGAATCAATTCTTTCCTAAGCAATTTTGAAGCAAATTGATACTCAGCTCCTGAAAGGCTATTAAATGAAGTACCTAGAGAAACCACCAGACACAATTAATTTTCTTAATTGCTAGAGGCTCATGAACATCTTTCGAAGATAGAGAAAAATAATTTGGTCAAGTTCACATAAAACTTACAGGCGTGAAAATGTAAAAGCAATGAGACTAGTCAGCCTACGTTAAAATTGTGTATTTGCGTGATTTTCAACACCTATAACTGCTTGTCTTTGAATGAAATTCCCCATAAGAAGCTACTTGGCAAACTGCCAGGATGATTTGTATTGGCATACAGGATCTAGAAACCACACATTTCCCCTTGAACTCTCTCTCTCTCTTGCTTAGAGAACATAGGAAGTGAACCAATACAACCTCAAGACATACTATTGTCAGATTCTCACTGCAAATACATGGACATTGATTCATCACTGAAAAATAAATGTCATAAGATATCATGTTACCCATACCTAAGCAACAGCATCGTATTACTTGATTTATACAGTACTCTCTGCTTTCTGGAGCAGGGATTATGCTTCACCTTCCAAGGGAAATAAGATTAGGTTTTTGCATGCTCAGGCAGCTTGAATGGCATAGCTATTTACATAATGAATAGCCTACTGGATCAGGCCTGGATCAGTATTCCAACCCTGATCATGGCAACATGAAATAATGCTGTGAGACGCACAAGCCTGGCAGCATTCCGCCATCCCCACCATACTCACCCAGTATCCAACATTACGACAACTAACAGAATTCCCAAGAATGATATTTACAATTCATGAAGCTCAGTTCTGTCCATGTATTTGTCTAACTATTTAAAGAGACTGAAACTGAAAGACTGTTTGTTGATGAGAAACTATGATTCTTAAAAAGTGTATTTCAAGAAGCTGATGACTGCTTGTGACTGTATCTGAAGTTAAGATCTTCAAACTTCAGTTGAGAGCTGCCCAAGTTATTAGTTTTGGCCCAGTGTTTATAAAGAACTTATCCAAGAGACCTGTAAATAAGGAGTTCAAGAAAGGTTACGGTTAAAAAAAGTAAATCCACAAATCCCTGGTCATTATGCTTAAGGATTTACATAAGAACTTGCATTGTTTCAAGAAGAAATTTGCATTCACCTATTCAATTACAGAAGGGTTTAATGAGCTAATATGCCAGAGACTACAACTGTCTCATATTTATTAAGATACTGATCAGATGATAAGAAATGTCTAACACAAATGGCAACAGAAGTCATTAGATCATTTGTCACCATGCCTGAACCAGTACATTTTGCATGGCTGAAGTCTGTTCTTTTTAACATGGAGCAAGCAAGTACAGGCTCTGACAGTCAACAGAGATCAATGTTCTGTTAAAAAACAGGGCCACCACAAGCCCACAAGCATCGTCTACCATGCCTATTTAACAGGCCAGAGCATAAATGCAATCCCAAGGCATAAAAGGAAGCAAGATAACACACAGTTCCTGCATAGGGTTCCCAGATCCTTGGATCATATTATCATATTTATTATTTTATTAACTTATTCCTAAAGTTCTCCAATAACCCTTTTGCACTTCATGACAAGTCAACTTACATGACTTCAGAAAAAGTGCTTAAAAGGCAGTTTAAGAACTACTTCTAAATAAGAAACTAATCTAGAAGCATTAAACAAATCAACTTTTTGAAAAGGAAACACTTTGCAATAGTCATCATTACATGTATGTAGAGAACATACTCTTCTACTTGTTCTAGTATATTGTGGGCAAGGTCAATGATAGATTTTTTTTTCAACTAAATTAGTTTTCAAACAGCCACTTTAATGTTCCAGAGTCTGTTTGGAACATAAAGCCCATGTAAAGCATGATGTTTGTCTAAGACTTCTGAAAGTAAGAAGGGAAGTGACCATTGTGTCTGTTTCTGCACTATACATAGAATACGGAAGTCAAATTATGTATGGTACCAAAACAGGATGGTGTTCTGATAACAATTATCCTCAAGTTCTTGTACTGGAACAGTCCCCAGTAAATACCTTTTTTTTCAGGAGTATGTAATCCATATGTTTTGGAACTTATGAGTGAGCTGACGCTAAGAGCAGCGCTACCTCCAAATAAGCACTGGAAGGTCTCCATTACCCAGTTTATCTAGACGAGCTTTATTGACTGAGATACTACAAACCTTCCCCCTCATACATAAGATATGTCAGTAATTTCTGATATCAGGTTGCAAAATGAAGACTTAATTCTGAAGATGTTCCAACAATGAACTGGGGAGCAGTTATTCAACTCAGTCTGAAGGAGAGTGGCATCCTACTGCAGTGACAAAGGGAAGTCACATGAGAGCAAGTATGTCCCCAGTATATATTTGGCCCTGGTGATAAGTAGAAGCAAAGTCTTCTGAGAGTGTTGCAACATCAACCCCTTTCCACTCCGGCTTCGGTTAAAACCTTTCAAAAGGAGAAGTGTTTATTCTGGGCTGCTTTAGCCAGCATTCGACTATAATCCATACTTCTCAACACTCAGTTTCCACCCTTCTCCAAACGCGGGTTCTGCAGTGTCGGGCTTGCTACATTCAGTACAAAGGTTACCAAGGAACAAAGGCTAAAGGTTTAGTAAAATTAAACATTAGCTTAACTCCTCTTATGCTTTAAGACTAAGACCACCCCCGCTGAAGACAGAAATTCAAGTGGCGGATTTATTCAGCTTTCAGAAGCCTTCCTTCAGACAGGCTCCTTGATTAAACGAGATCAGCACCGTTCGCATTAGGACACAGGCATGCCTTTGGCATCTTCAGGGGATACAAACTATAACCGGGGAGCACGGAGATAGCTCACCTTGCGGCGCAGCGCACCCAGCACGGGCCGGCCCACCCCCGGGCAGCGGGCCCCGCTCGGGGCACAGCGAGCGTCCCGCCGGCGCCGTCCCCGCCCGGCCGCGCCGCCCCGAGGGACGAGGGGACCCGGGACCCCTCAGCCCCCGCCCCACCCGCGGCCCCCGCAGGGCGTACCCGCGCCGAGGCCCTCGGGACCCTGCAGCGCCTCGGGCACCTCGCCGTTCGCCAGGATGCCGTAGCCCTCGTCGTTCTCGATGCCCGCGATCTCGTTCTCCTGCTGCGCCAGGAAAGCGGCAGCGGGATCCTCCTCGCCACCGTCGGGCATCCCGTTCCCGGCGGTCGGCGGCTGCGTCTGCTGGGCACCGAAGAGCTCCATGTCGGCCATGGGTGAAGGCGGGCAAGCAGCTGCGGCTCCGCACCGCGCCTACGCCGGGCAGCAGCGCGGAAAGGGCAGGGCCGCCCCGCCTGCGCCAATGAGCGGCGAGCACTGCCGGCTCCGCCCAATCAGCGAGCGGCCGTGGCGGGGCCTCCGAAACGCGAGCCAATCAGTGCCCAGAGAGCAGCGAGTGGGCGGGTGGGGCGGAGCGCGGCCCCGGTGCCCGGAGAGCCGGGTGGCACCGGCGGGCTCCGCTCCATCGGGATCCGCTCCTTCGGGCTGTAGCCGGTCCGGAGTCGCCTCTGCCAGCCTGCCAAAGCACAGGCGCTCCACGGGGACAAGACAGGGGTCCATCGGCAACTTGGAGACAAATTCGAACGTCCAAAACATGGGTTGTGTCAAACATCTGTCGTGATATTGGGTGTCTTCTCTCTCACATAGGGAAACTTAAGTCACAGAAACATAGGAGATGTTGGAAGGGACATCAACATTGGGTCATCTATTCAACCTCCCTGCTTAAGCAGGGTTATCCCAGAGCATTTGGCACAGGATTGTGTCTATATGGTTCTTGAATATCTCCAGTGAGGGAGACTTCACACCCTCTCTGGACAATCTGTTCCAATACTCAATCACCCACACAGTAAAGCTCTTTCTTATGTTCAAGTGGAATTTACTGTGCATCAGTCTTTGACAGTTGTCTCGTGTACTAGTGGTTGGCACCACGGAGAAGAGCCTGGCTCCCTGCTCTTGACACCCCTGCCTTTAGACATTTTTACACATTGATGAGATCAAACCAGTGTAAATTCAAGAAGCATGTGTTCTATTGACAAAATGTTAATCAGAAGGGCAGTAATTTCTGATACAATTTTTTGGACAGTTACTTTGATCATGTTCTTGTATCTGGGTATTATAACACAGATGGAATCATACAATTGTAGAATGTGAAGGGATTAGAATGGACTAAAAGATCATCTATTCCAAACCCCTGCTGCCTTGGGCAGGGGCACCTTCCACTAGAGCAGCTTATTTTAGGCCTTATCCAACTGGCCTTCAACACTGCCAGGGTTGGGACATCCACAACCTCCCTAGGCAACCTCTTCCAGTCTCTCCCCAGAAGACTAAAGAATTTCTTCCTAATATCTAACCTAAATTTCCCCTGTTTCAGTTTGTACCCATTACCCGTTGCCCTGTTACTACAGTTCCTGACACTGACTCCCTCTCCAGTTTCCCAGTAGTACCCTTCAGATAGTGGGAGGTTGCACAACCTCCTCTTCTCCAGGATGAACAGACCCAACTTCCTCAGTCTGTCTTTGTAGGGGAGGTGCTCCAGTCCTCTTACCAACACTGCGGCCTCCTCTGGACTTGCTCCAGCAGTTCCATGTCCTTCTCATGCTGAGGGCATGGGAACTGTGTGCTGTAGTCCAGGTGGCATGGCATGTTAGCAGAGCGAGGGACAATCACCTCCTTTGACCTGCTGGCCATGGATGTAATTTATTGGCATAGCAGAGAGGAAGGGGAAAATATTTATGTAAGAAAGGAGAAAATTATGCTGGCAGCCCTCAAGCTGGTGTAGTTGCTGCAAGATGTACCTGCTTAATTCTGCTTACATGTTGCCCATAAGTCTGTGTACATTTCATGAAATATTAGAGGTAATGCCATCCAGGCTTATGTTATAGTCCCAAAAAAGGGTTCAGACATATTTCACAAGGAGCCCAAATTCAGAGAAAAATTTAACTCTGAAAGACAGTTGTAAATGTGAATTTAATGGGTGAGATAAACCACATGCTCAGTTACACTTTTTCCCCCAATCAATATCATTTGCTAGAGAAAAAAAGTACAAGTAAATTCTTGTAGTATGACAGATAGGTCCCTTCACCTCATTTAGTCAAATAAAAGATGTGCCTAGTTTTTCCTTTGAAAACTCAGAATCTGGTTGGTAGGAGGCTAGACCTTCCTGAATTTCATCTCTCATAGAAAAACAGCAAGGTTATTTATTTTAAATAATCTCCAGCTGCCATGGAAAAGCTAAAGAATTAAAAACAAGAGCAGTAAGTGGGCCCATAACTTACAACAGGAGATGATAAAAATGAAATGCCATCATGAAGTGTATGCCACACTCTAGCAGAAACTTGCTGACTTTGTTTCCACAAGTTCTTCTAAAAAGATATTCCCACATTCATTTTCATCACTCCTCTTTCCTTATACGTAAATAAAGGAATATTGCACTGCTTCCCTTTAACTATGACTAGTGGATGTTGCATGACTGTCTAGTTATTTCCTCTTTTGCTTTACCACTGCCTCTTAGCCCTCTGGGGGATTTCTGATGGCACAAACACAAGTAGGACATTGTGATTTAAAATGAAAAGCAAATCCGGTTACTTGCTTGTCTAAAAATTGCAGAATAGGGATTAAGGAATTTGATATATAAACAGAATTGCAATTTTTCAAATAGCCCAAGAAAATTATTTTCTGTGTTCTATTGGAATGAGTAACTGAATGTTATTGCTTTAGATGCAAGGGAAAATACAGTGAGCAATTAGATCTGTTTTGATGATGAATTCAAAAATTTGTATGTCATCTATCATTCAGATGCACTGTGAAGTGTTCTTGCACTGACAAAGCTATTACTTTCCTGCTTTCTTACCCTGTATAAGAAGTCAAGATATCTCCTTTTCTAAAGGCAGGTGTTACTCCTTAGAGAGTAGTACAAAGCACAAGAGTAGCACACCCTTTGTTATTCATCCATCATGGTTTGTTGATGTGTCACACTAGGGAGAAGAGTATATTACAGAAATATTAGGTGAATAAACCCTTATGGAATTATGAAAAGGCAAAGGAGTGTCAGGATTGTTCTGTTTCTCTCCATTCTTTGAAAGAAGATAAAATTTAATTCTAGTTTCTATATGTACTGAGATTTTGTTTACAAGTAGTTTAAAAATATGTTTTTGAGCATTTATGAAAATATGGGTTTGCAACTCAGCACTTCCTACATTAAGAAAGGCATTGCAACAGAAAGGCATTGCAATCCCACAATACTGGGATTTCTCTGACTCTTTCACAATGTTTTTTATTTAAGAAAATAAATAATTAGTAGAACAGATGTTTCTAGAGAAAACAAATTAAATGCAAGCCCATACAATACTCTGTTAGTATGCAAATGAGAAAGGCATTGCACAGCTGACATCTGGACAGGAAATCTTTCTAACTAGAAGCGCCCTGCACAAGAGCCCGCAGTTGGTGAGAGCACACAATGACTAGAACTTGGTCCAGTTGCATTGAAACCAGTTAACCAGAGGTTCCCTCAAACTGCTGATGACTAGCAACTTTCAAGCTATAGACAGAAGTTAGAAAAACCTCCCAGCTTTTCACTTATGAGAACCTAGACTCCTGTATCAGAAAGATGGTGCCTACTTGGGGTCAGATTGCCACTCCTTTGCAAGGTACAAAACCCAAAAAGAACTGGTTTGAGAGGCACATAAAGCTGCCAGCATCAGTCTGCTCCACAGCAACTACCCTGCACATCACTTCACATCAGTCTGGAAGCTCCCTCAAAGCAGATTTTTAAAGGTCACTGCACATACACTGACTTGGGCACTTAAAGCTACAATTAACAGTTCTGCTAAATAGAAGACTATTACTTTAGAAGACTAAAGCCCACAAAGAAAACATTTGTACATGTCACTGCCATTCAGCTCAAGCCCATCTGCACTACAGAGTCATGCTGCAGCTGTTCACCTTGTTTTGATGGGGCTGGATTTAAAGCCAAGCCAGGGTCTATAACTCATATTGATTGTAACAGCTTAAATAAGCCATCTGCCCACTCTGACTACCTAGGATGACCACAGAGCAATTCTCCTATTCAATCAAACTGGAGACATGTTTATTTCTACAATGTGAAAGAGAAACCAGTCTTTAAATATATGTAGTTCTCATCCCCAGAAGAAAGGCAGTTTTATCATGAGAGTGCATCAAGCCACCTGCAAGGCAAGAGGATTTGAAGTGGCCCACCCAAACATGTCCATTGCTACAAGACCTCCAGTGCCACGGCAAGACACACTGCTTTCAGTTTATCAAGCTGATTTGCTGCCATGAGAATTTAATTAGATGAGGGCACAAAGAGACACTGCTGGTAGTGTCCACACTGTTAAACACAAACATCCCAAGATAAGAGGTGTAGATGCTTTCCAAGGAACAGAAGTAGTCAGTAAAATAAGGAACATACCTACAACTAATAAACACATAAAAACTAATAAAAACTATGCTGCTTTTTTGTTGCTCTGACAGCTGTATCTAATCATCACAGCTGTGCATGGTATTCAAACAGAATCTGAGTAAGCAGAGAAGAGACATGGTTCCCTACCTAAGGAAAGCATGGAGCTGCACAAAGATGAGCAGAGTGGAGGGTTAGACTGCCAGAGCAGAACAGCAGTAAGTAAGTAAGTAAGTAATATGACAAGCCTAGTATAAAGAGGAAGGTTTGCAAATACAGGGTGAAGATACTTGAAATTATATGATTATGAATTATAGAGTGAGCAATACCAGGAAGGTAAAGCCTTGCCAACATTTTGTATGGATATAGTGGGCCTCTCCTTAACACAAAAGTACTTCAGTCCTTTAATAATCTTTGTTGTCTTGCCCTGGACTCACTCCAATATGTCCATGTCTTTCTTGTTCTGTGGGCTCAAAACTGGATTCAGCATTCCAGATGTGCTGAATGCAGAGGAAGGATCACTTTCTTTCACATGCTAGCAGTGCTCTTCCTTGTGCATCCATCCCAGGATGCTGTTGGCCTTTTTCATTGTAAGGGCATATTGGTGTTAGATGACAAGCTTCTTGCTCCCAAAGACCCCAAGGCCCTTCATTGCCAAGCTATACTGCAGTCCCCAGAATGTACCGATGGCTGGAATCATTCTTATCCCAGTGTAAGACTTCACATCTCTCATTGTTGAGCTCTATGAGATTCCCCTCTGCCCAATTTTCCAGCCTACCAAGGTCCCTCTCAGTCCCTCTGATGTAACAGTCACTCCTCCTGGTTTTGTATAATACGTGAACTTGCTGTAGCAGCACTCT